ATATAAATAAATAGACTGTTTTATCAGTATTTTTTCACAGTTTCTGTTTTCCACTAGAAAAGAGTTAAACTTACAGTTCCTCCAGTCTGATAGGGGGCAGCATTTAATTGTGAGCTTGTTTATGTTTTGCAGAACTGGAGGTGGCACGTCTAAGTACAGATGTTAATCTGGTTGATCTAATCTTCCCTCAATCTGGACTAACCGGCAACTCCATTCATCTCTCCGCCAACACACTCAAACAGCAAGGACGCAATGGTAATTCGTCTTTGTCCATCTGCCTCTGTCTAATTCCCTATCTGTCACTTTCCAGACTGACCGCTTGTGTGTTTTCTATTCCTCAGGTGAGATCCGCATGGCGCTTGTTCTCTATAAGAACCTCGGTCAATACCTGTGCACGGAGAACGCTAGCGTGCGTCTGGGCAGTGTAGCGGCCTATCCAAACTATTCCCTGATAGTCAACTCACCTGTTATTACAGCAGCTATTAATAAAGACAATAACAAGGTCTACCTGTCTGAACCTGTGGTCTTCACTGTCAAACACATACAGGTAATTATATACTCGTACAATTTCATCTTTCAGGATCTTTTCTGTGTGTATTTCCGTCACTATAATTTTTAACTCATACAAGAGTTTATGATGTGCATCTCCTCATTCCAGCAGTCGGAAGAGAACTTCAATCCGAACTGCTCTTTTTGGAGTTACTCCAAACGCACTATGACGGGATATTGGTCCACTCAGGACTGCAGACTACTCGGCACCAACCGCACTCACACCTCCTGTTCCTGCACACACCTCACTAACTTTGCAGTGCTTATGGCCCACGTGGAAGTCAAGGTATGTCTCACACTTATTTTATCAATGCTCATCTCATCAATGAGTACTAATGAAAATTTATATTGACTAAGGATTTCTTGATTTGTGACCCTGGACCACAAAACCAATCATAACGGTCAATTTCAGCATCTGATCATCTGAAAGCTGAATAAGATTTCCATTGATGTATGGTTTGTTAGGATAGGACAATATTTGGCCGAGACACAACTATTTGAATATCTGAAATCTGAGGGTGCAAAAAAATCAAAATATAGAGAAAATCATCTTTAAAGTTGTCCTAATTAAATCCTTAGCAATGCATATTACTAATAAAAAAATAAGTTTTGATATATTTACAGTAGGAAATTTACAAAATATCTTCATTGAACATGATCTTTACTTAATATCCTAATAATCAAAAATCAATAATTTTGACCCATACAATATATTGTTGGCTATTGCTACAAATATACCCCAGCGACTTAAGACTGGTTTTGTGGTCCAGGGTCTCATTTGTTATTCGGATGACAACAATATGGCAAGAAGAAGAAAAAAACACTATATTTCAATATATATTAATGACACAAAATATTAACAGGTCCTTTAAAAAAAATAAAAATAAAGGGTACTTGCTATTCAGAATGTTACAGTTTAACACATTCCCATGCACCAGTGTTATTTTAGTATTATTTATATACTATTGTAGTATTTATTAATATTTTCAGTTAGCTTTTATTTTTATATTACAATTTTACTTTTAATTTTGTTATGTGCTTTTGTCATTTTTATTATTTTTCATGTTTCTGTTTAGCTTTATTTTTAACGTGAATTGATTCATTTCTTTGACTTAAATTTCAGTCAACTTTAGTCATCTTAAACTTATTTCAGTGAGTATTTCATTTCATATTTAAGTTTTAATATTTCTATTTTATTTTAGCTTTATTTGAATTAAAAGAAACATTTTGAATAGTTTTAATAGGTTTTAGTTAAATAGTTTTAGTCAACAATAAATAGTTTCAGATTTAAGTTTTAATGTTTCTATTTTATTTTAGCTTTATTTCAATAAAAACATTTTAATAGTTTTTATTTAAATAGTTTTTAAGCTAACAATAACAACACTGACTGTTTTGCACATTATCATCACGCAATTTCAGTCAGTAAAATGGACATCTCATTTTCTCCTCCAACTTCAAAATCGTCCTACATCGCTGTTTTACCATTTTTCGTAAAGGGAGTTTGACCTTCTTTAGGTTAGGTTAGGTTAACTTTATTTGTCTCCCATGGGAGAAATTTGGCTTGGAAAAAGGGCATGCTGCACAAAAAGACATAACATAAAAGACATATTAACATATATAAAAAATACTCAAAGTGCATGTTCACTTTGTAAACACTGGGTCGGTACTTCTGCAGCGATGTAGGACGATTTTGAAGTTGGAGGAGAAAATGAGATGGGAGTTTTTCGAAATACCCTAACTGTCATTAACTTTGTAGTAGTTCTGTTGAGAATGGAATACTTTACAGCTTACCTGAGATTTACAACCAGACCCAGTATAAAAATTTGAACTGCACTCACTAGCACTGCAATAGGGTTACGTCATCCGCCACTAAGAGAGACCTCACAGGTCTCCTGAAGCCATTCGGCTCTTCCCTTGGGCTGTAAGACTGTATAATGTGTTATCTCAGTGAGGACACTCACACTCATTGCTCACTCTCTCTCAACGTGCACACACACACACACACACACACACACATAAAATCAGTAATAAATGGACAAAAACAGACATGGAAAGCCCAAACATAGTGTGAACTAATATGTTGTACATGCATGAACATGTCATGGCGTTAATACTTGTGTGTGCATGTCAACAGAAGATGGCCGAAATGATTTATGCACAAAACGTAAAGGCGAAAGGTCAAGATATACATAAATGTAAATGTTGTGTGCAGAGAGGATTGACCTTAAACATTCACACACGCACATCGTTTGGACCCACACCCTTGAGGCTGAATTAATGGATGTTGCGTATACATATGAATGATTAATAAAACCATTTAGTGTGTGTACTTGTGTGTGTGCAGGCTTGACTGCACACATTCACTGAACACCGAGTCTTGTCATAGCCGCAGTGCTCCAAATTTCTCACACTACCGCTGAAATGAATGGGCCGTTCTGACCCAGACCCAGGCCCACAATCTGTGGCTCCACAGAAATGGAATGCTCATCATTCACAATGTGACACAATATGTACAATCATTATATATGTGTATTAATTTCAGCTGCCAAAAAGATTACTATCAGCGGTGTTTATCAAAGTGTATTTCTCCACTACTGTAAATTAATGCAGAAAATTTAAAGAAAATTTCATCTGGGCCCTCGGTAGAACACATGAATGCATCTTCCTGTCTGAACTCTACCAGTGAGGAACTTCCTTAGTAGGGATGGGCTTTTTGAGAAGTTTTGTAGTTGAATACAAATAAAAAAATGTTACATTTACACATTTTACACCAATGCAACGTGATGCTAGTGATTCTTTTCTTTTGAAGAGCTAAAATAATAATCAATTATATATTTTTACACAATCGTTCAAAGATTTGGGGTCAGCAAGATTTTTTTTTTAAAGAAATAAGTGCCTTTATTCAGCATGGATGAATTAAATTGGTGTGACAGTAAAGAAAATATATATAAAATAATAAACACAATAATACAAAAGATTTCTGTTAAAAAGCTGTTCTTTCAAACATCTATTCATCAGAATCCCTAAAAAAGTATGATTGGTTCCCACAAAAATATTAAGCAGCACAACTGTTTTCAACTGTGATAAGACATGTTTTTGAGCATTTCTGAAGGATCATCTGATGCTAAAGACTGCAATAGAAAACCGTTATTTTAAATTGTAATAATATTTCATAATTTTTAGTTTTTACAGTATATTTAATCAAATAAATGCAGCCTTGGTGAACCTAAGAGACTTTAAAAAAAAACATAAAAAAAACCTTTACAACCTCAATCACAAACAACAGTAGTGTATGTAACAGGATTACTCTGTTTGTAAGGCTGCTGCTATTTACACCACACACAAATGGAAAGTTAGTATTTTATACTTCACCTAAGGTAGTAGATATGGACTTTGACTAACATCCTTCTGTCCTTCGTCTCTCTCTGTTTCTCAGAAAGCGGACCAGGTGCATGAGCTGCTGTTGGACGTCATAACGTGGGTGGGGATCCTGCTGTCTCTGGTCTGCCTGCTCATCTGCATCTTCACCTTCTGTTTCTTCCGCGGTCTCCAAAGCGACAGGAACACCATCCACAAGAACCTCTGCATCTCCCTCTTTATTGCCGAAACACTCTTCCTCACTGGAATCAACCGTGCAGACCAGCCCGTACGACACACACACACCAGCTCCGTATGGAAAGCACCACATATACACACTTGATGGATTTAGATTTATTGCAGAACACACACACTATTCCTTAAGTTGTTAAATTGGGCACCTGGCTCTTGTTAATTACATAAATGGAGAGGGTCTTTGACCTCTCGTTAATAACAAAAATCTCATTGTATCCTCAGAGAGAGACAAAGAGAGAGTGAGAGAGGAGAATATAAGCAAAGACAAATGGAAAACGACAAAGATAAAATGCAGGAAATCCGTCGGGAAATTTCTGAAGTGATAACAGAACAGACTGTTAAGACTCAAAGCAGAGAGTCACAGATCACACAGATGCTGGTAGATAGTTACAGCACCTTTTGTGCTTAGCGTGTATGTCTTTGTTACAGATCGTCTGTGCGGTGTTTGCGGCTCTGCTGCATTTCTTCTTCTTGGCTGCATTTACATGGATGTTTCTGGAAGGCGTACAGCTGTACATCATGCTGGTGGAAGTGTTCGAGAGCGAGTACTCGCGCACCAAGTACTTCTATCTCACTGGATACGGAGTGCCTGCTGTTATAGTGGCTGTGTCTGCCGCCGTGGACTATCGCAGCTATGGAACCGAAAGAGTGTATGTATATGGCAGATACAATTGGCAATATAATGCGCTTAAAAAAAACAAAAAAACATTTCCACCATTATTGCTCAAGAAAGATTAAACATGCACCATGTGTTGACAGTATGTGCCATTAAACAGCCTTTTCAGAGACATTTTAACAGTAAAACAATTATAAATCACCAACAGCAAAAATGTAAACAGTAAGATAAAATGTTTCAAAAATGAACAAAAATGGCAAAACTTTGTTATAGCACACACACTGTATGTGTATGTATGAAAAAAAAAAGATACAAAGCTGTCACTGTAAGGTGCAAAAGCTACTTCTTTGTACATTTTTAATCCTTAAAGGTACACATCAGTATTTTAAAAGTACATATTTGTACCTTATGACAGTTTTGGGCCCTTTTTCTGAGAGTGTCTGTAGTTGCCAGATAATATGACACTGTGGTTTTATTGTGTTCACTTGTTTATACAACAGCTATTACAAATATTTTAGTTTGAAGGGCAAAATTAATTTAAAACAGAAAAAATCTAATTGAAGAGAGCTTTGAAAGACACCTTTTGAGAGAAAACACATTTATGCAATTGGACTTTTGACTCAAAACCTTTTAGTTAAACAGTTTACCCTACATAATTAAAAGTACACTTATTTTACATAATTATTCCACACAATGTTTACACAAAATAATCCTCTAGAAAAGAAATAAATAACTTAAAAATAAAAATCCACTAGAAATTAAATAAAGGCATTGCTAATTATTCATTGAGAGAGCTTTCAGTAGATTTTGGAACTGACATAAGGGGGAGGTAACACTTTAATTGGCCAAGCAGACATAAGTATCAGCCAGTTAATCTGTCTGGCCAATGTATTGGTCTATCACTAGTGTGATGTCCAAAATGCATCTGTCGGCTTCCAATTTTGCTTGCAAAGACCCAGTTGCCTTCTTACGAGCAATTTTGCTTAACGGTTAAGGAAGATTGTAGGTTCAATCCCAGGATTTAGTGACAGAGGAAAAGAGTTACTGAGATCACAGACGTGCTCTATTAGCACAGTGCCCTTGAGCAAGACACATCACAGCAGACTGCTCAAGGGGGAATGGCTATGCAATTAGTGCCCTGAAAGTCACTTTGGATAAAAACACAACTGCTTTGTTGCAAATGACTTCATGAGCACAAATAACTTGACTCAAATCAATTATTAATTCACTCATTAAAGGGATAGTTCACCAAAAAATACAAACTCTGTCATCATGTACTTACCCTCATGCCATTACAAATTCATATAATAATATTTGAATAATGTTTCAGCTGTTTTGTCCTTGAAATAAAGGTCAGGGGGGTCCAAAACATTAATATTTCTCTCTCTCTCTCTCTCTCTCTCTCTCTCTCTTTCTTTTTATATTAAAAGAAATTTATATGTTTATTTATCAATTACACATTAAGTTGACCAAAAGTAACAGTAAAAACATTTGCATAGTTAAAAAAGATTGTTCTTTTGAACTTTCTATTCATCAAAGAATCCTGAAAAAAATGTATCACAACACTGATAAGAAGAAATGTTTCTTTAGCATCAAATCAGCAGAAATGAATGTTTATTTAGCAATTACACATTAAGTTGATCAAAAGTAACAGTAAAAACATTTACATAGTTACAAAATGCTGTTCTTTTGAACGTTCTATTCATCAAAGAATCCTGAAAAAAATTTATCAAAACATTGATAATAAGGAGAAATATTTCTTTAGCATCAAATCAGCATGAATGATTCATTTCTGAAGGATCATGTGACACTGAAGAATGGAGTAATGGCTGCTGAAAATTCAGCTTTTCCATCACAGGAATAAATTATATTTTAAAATATAGAAATTATTTTAAACTGTAATAATATTTCAGAATATGTCTCTTTTTTACTGTACAGTATGTTTGATCAAATAAATGCAGCCTTGGTGAGCACAAGAGACTTTCAAAAACATTGACAAAAATCTTACCCACCCCAAACTTTACTGTAACAGTACAGTAAGTACACCAAATATTAAATTAAAGACATGCCATCTAAAATAAGACATGTCATCTAAAAACATGCTTCTCTCTTTGATAGCAATAAGCCACAAAATTACTTGACTTGTGATCAGTGAGTGGAGGAAATCAGAAATCCCTCTAATGCTGTCTACTCCAGCAAAATGTTTTGCAAGTGCCAAGCGCATCAGATCAGGTTGTACTGAAAGTCGCCTGTGCGTTCATGAGTTCTGAAATGGGCAAAATGGTGAAATTGCCCTAATTCATATTCATAAAGAAACTTGTTCAGCTGGCATCACTGCAGTTAGTGGCCAGACACAGCCGTAAGGGATGTTCACTCAGATAAATATTTCAGCAAAAATCATAATTTAAAGATGAGATGCTGAATGTGGCATGTGAATAAGTGGTGGTCACTCATGCACAAAGTCTCACCAGACCACAGAATTAGGTCACACTCATTTAAAAGCTAGAAATGAATCGAAGGGAGGGAGGGAGGGAGAAGAATACTATTTTACTGCATATCCTGTTAACCTGAGCCAACACTGGAGATCTAAACAAGGGTGAAGGGATCCTTATGCAGGGAAAACATGGCCGTGCCACTTTTAGAATATTCGTCCCTCCACTTTTTGGCAGATAATCAGTGCTTTTCATGCCTTAATGTGTCCCCCACACTTGCAAATTTTTTCTACACCTCTATATAAATACCATGGTAGAGAGGAGCATAAATTAAGGTGTTGTCATGGCAGATGGTTGGTGAAATCAGTGCCAGGCTGGTAAGAGCAAAAATATAGCACAAAGAGCATGTCTGCGTGGCCTAATCCCAGCACACATGAATTGAAATTCCTAAAATATTTATAATCCTATTTGGTTTCTGCATTCTCTAGCATATGGTATCTGTTCTTTAAAGAGGGAGCATGTCTGACTGTGTTGGTGGCCTGGAACACACACACATATACACACACACTCTAACAGCGATGCTTCCACTCCTGCTGGGCTGTAGAGGTGATTTCAGTATAGCAGAGATGAAGATTTTAATAATTCAGCTCTGGGTTGTCAGTCACCCCTTGAGATTCCAAACGTTCCATGGCCAATGAGCCTGTTCTGAATGCGATGATCAACCAAACACAAGAACATAATGTGAACATTCCTTCCTGGAACTTAAACTTGCTTTGATCTTAATTGGAGAGGGTTGGAAATCAGTTTCATTTGAAAATCTCTCTCTTGCTCTCTTTCTGTGTAGGTGCTGGCTACGGTTGGATACTTACTTTATCTGGAGTTTCATTGGGCCTGCTACTCTCATCATCATGGTGAGTTTAACACACACACTGGGGGTTTAGAGAATGATAGAGCAAAGCCAATTCCACACTGGCGCACACACACCCACACGGGGGGTTTAGATAATGGTCTGTCGAGGGCATTTTCCCAATTACGGGAAAGTCACAGTCACCCCACCAGACAAGCTGAGCATCCCCATTGCTATATATAGAGAAAGATGGAGTGTGTGTGTATGTGTGTGTAAGTTGGGTTTGCTTTATCTTGATTGTTTATTGTGTATATTTCAGAATTTTTAGCGGTGTTCTGATTTGGAATGTGCTGAAATTTTGTGAGAAAATAGGCTGAAATCTCAGCTGAAACACTGATTTAAGAACAAGTCAGACAACCAATTTTTTTTTTTACGATTTTTTTTTTTTTTTCACTTTATTAGTATAGGACGGTATAGAAGTGACAGGGAGCAAAGTGGGAGAGCGAGAGAGGGGGGTGAGAAGCCACTCTGGAAAAGAGATGCACATGGACAAAAATTTTAAACATTTATGCAGTTTACATTTGTTTGTTTTTTTCTAATTGTGTATACATAATGTCTGACATAATTCAAACACAATTATATATATATGAAATATATCATTAAAACAAAAAATACAATGTGTGTGTATAGATAGATAGGTAGGTAGGTAGGTAGGTAGATAGATAGATAGATAGATAGATAGATAGATAGATAGATAGATAGATAGATTTCCCCTTGCATATTGGTTGTTTAATGCAATGATTTTCTGTTCGCGAACAGGTTGTACACATGCACTTATTTTGTACAGTACTGTACGTGCATTATACAAACAGTGAGATATTAACCTACATATCTTATGCAATATACTGTAGGGTGAAGAAGTGCTTGTATAGAAAAAAAATCAGTTTGGGAGTTATTGTGATTTTCTCTTGCACATAATAATGTGTGCAAGATCTGTTTGGAATAGGCAATATCACATTTATCAAAAAACAGTAACAGATGCATAAATGCTGTTCTATACTGTTATCAATTTATTTAATAACTATATATACCATTGTTTTTTCCCAAACAAAGGCTTGTTTAATTATTTCAATTATTTAATTTAAAATGAGCATTTTCAGATTAATTGGCTCCATAATGTTCATTTTGGTGCACCACTAGTTCCCATGATAAAATTGTGATTTTCAGGCTTAGAAAAGCATGGAGAAAGGTGAATCCTCCATTGAGCTATTCTGCGTCATTTTATTCATTTAAATCTGTTCATTCCAAATTCATTTCTGATATACAAGTGAGAATATGCTCAGTAAGGATTTCAGAAATCACAAATGAATGGCAAGGTCCTCTTTTATAGTTTTAAATAGTTATTGCATTTGTATCATGCATTTATTGTTTTGTGTTGCAGCTAAATGTTATTTTCCTGGGCATTGCACTATATAAGATGTTTCACCACACAGCGATTCTCAAGCCTGACTCCGGTTGCCTGGACAACATCAAGTAAGGCATTTATTCTGAGTTTCAATGTGTGTGTGCTTTATTGCTTTTCTTGCTTACACTGCGACTGTCTTTATTTTCACTAAACACGCAATTGTCCTTTAATTCTGGACCGTTCCTTAGAGGTGTTTAAATGAGAAGAATGTTCTACTGCCTATCTAAAGTTAGATGAAGTTTAAAGTGTCTTTTATCTGTCATTTTCTCCTTGATGTTTAAGTTCTGATGGGACCGAATCAGTAATGATTAAAAAAAATAAAATAAATAAATAAACATAAACCGCATTCCCTGCGCTATTTATTCAAATGAAGTCAGCATCATCTTTAAGAGCTAGGACACTTGGGGCTGGCATATCAGGGTGTACTGATACACAGCCAGTAATGTGGGGGATCAGAAAGTGTGTAATGCACAGTGTGTAGCATGTCTCATCTATACACTACAGCCCACTGGCAGACAGTACATACTGAATCTAGGTTAGTTAGCATATTTCAGTAATTGATTATTCTTTTTGATGTTCAGAACACAGGCAGAGGAGTCACTGTTTAAAACTGTGACCCAAATGTGGAAATTCTGCACAAATATTCATGTTATACAACTGTTACAGTACTCTTATTTGATTGGACAAGTGACATTCCAGAAACACTGATATGTAGTACAACAGCAGTGGGACTTTCCAAACTGTCAATTTGTACATTAGTGTTAGGGATTTTCAGGTTACATCGATGCGCTATTTTAATGGTTCAAAACTGTGATTCATTTTGAGTGAGTCATTGAATCATTTACTCAACCAAATTGTTAAAAAGCACTGATTAATTCAAGAATGTTATATAAGTGTTATATTTGAGTATTATTCATATACTATTACTGATTTTATTTAACAATTTATTTTGAATTGGCTTTTATTTTTATCTGTCAGTTTTGATTTTAGTTAATTTTTTTATTTTAGTTTTAGTTAACAACTGAAACAAACTGAGTATTGTTCACAGCCATGCAACGGATGATTCTGTTTCAGCTTCTTTGGAACTGTCTTCATGGGAGAACAAAGTTACTAAATATTAACTTCTACAATTAACAGTTAAAAAACCTGTTCACCATGTTTACAAGTTTGCAAAACTTTATTATAAACAGCTATAGTACCACCAAAAGTATTTCGATCTTTCAACCACACTTAAAAATATACAAATGTCAGTACATTAAATAATAAAAACCTGTTGCCAATGTCATTTAAACACTAATTAAATTGTAATGTGTAACTATATATTTCCATTCAAATGTTTGAAGTCAGTAAGATTTTTTTATTGTTTTTGAAAGAAGCCTCATCCAGAAAGAAAGAAGGCTCACCAAGGCTGCTTATATTTGATCAAAAACAGTGAAAACCATAATATTATGAAATGTTATTACAATTTAAAATAACAGTTTTGTGGTGCATTTCTGGGATGCATTTTTTTTTTTAGGATTTTGATGAATATAAAAGTTCAAAAGAACTACATTTATTTGAAATAGAAATATTTTGTAACAGTGTAAATGTCCTTACTGTCACTTTTGAGCAGTTGAATTTGTCCTTGCTGGATAAAAGTACACATTTCTTTCAGATAATAACAAAAATCTTACTGACCTCAAAGTTTGAATGGTGGTGTGTGTGTGTGTATATCTCTGTCTTTATATATATTTGTATAATATTTCCACACAGTGGGAAAAACTCAGGTTTTTGTGTCTATGGCAACTGTGCACTCTCATATACCTAACAGAAGAGCTTTTCTTCTCACTATAAAGTACATACTATAGCCCTGTTGCCATTATCTAACCCTAACCTTACTACTATAAGTCTCTTTGTCACCAAATCAGTAACAGAAAAAAATACTTTTTAATGAGCTGAGAGAAATGCCTCTGCTAGCACAGGATACAAGATGGCCGATTTAATAAAGTAAAAGTTAAGTTAGAAAATCAGGCCCAGTCAAAAATGTAGCCTCAGCACAAAATTCCATTCAAAGTTCTGAAGCTGCCGTGCATAGAATAGATTATCTCGGCTCCTGCAAGGCTATTGGCTACTGAGAGCTTAACCCCACCTACCATCACAGCTCTCACGTTATCATAAGGTGCAAGGGCTGCTAAACGTACTTGCAGTCTGGCTGTTGTTGTTGTTGTTGTTTTTTTCCGTCTTATACCATCACATTCCATACCCCAATATGTACATTTGTGTCGACTGAGAAAATTCAACCATATTTCACCATCATTATCATAAGTAGAAGTTTTCATTTTATTTGTTTGTGTTGAGTTTGTTTTGTTTTATTTATGATGTTTATGAATCATTCATCAGCCTCATCTGTCTTTTTTTCTTTGTTGTTTCCTTTTCCATCCTTTTTTTCTCTTTTACATTTCAGCATTCTGTTGAGGCATGGCTTGTTATGGATAGTCACTGGTAAGAGTCTCCAGCCAATCAGAGTGCCAGTTCTGTGAATCACGCATTCTGATTGGAGTGTTTAGCTGTGTAGTACCTCCACTGTTTGATTGATTCTCTGAATGTTAAAATTATTTAAGTGATTCATCAATTCTCCAGTGTGGCTCTTTGAAATGAACAATGTAATTATAATTCTTCATGAGTGCGTTCTCTCTCTGCATCAGTTCCGAGTTGGTTCAAAATCAATATATCTGTCTGTCTGTCTGTCAGTCTTTCCATGTTGATCCACCATTATTTATTTATTATTATTGTCTCTGATGGAAACAATAATTCATATTTACTGTCTCTCTGCATATCGTCTCAAAAGTTTCTCCCTGTCTTTCTGTACGTCTGTCTCTCTCTTTCTCTGTCTAATACTTTCTAATGATCTTGTTTCAGTGCCAAACATTAGCCTGTCACATTAGCGCAGTTCACAGTATAAATGGGTTGCAAGCTTAATATGTGTGAGTCTAAGTGTGTGTGTGTGTGTGTGTGTGTGTATATGTGTGTGAATGACCCCAAAGACTAAATTACATCACTAAATGAGTGTGAGACTCAGTGCTAAGTACAGACTAGTAGATATTATGGCTGGAGCCAGCTTGACATTTGACTGCTGTAGAATAAAGCCTTTCTCTGAGACAGTTTATAATCGGATCCTACTATTGTCAAACTGAGGAAACAGATACAGTCCAATAAAATAACATAACATTTTAATATACTTAGATCATATAAACTAGCTGGGGTCATACATGTGTCGAATGTGTGTGAGTGAGTGAGAGTTATGCACTTGATCTGTTTAATTTATCTTTATCTCTCTCTCTCTTAGGTCCTGGGTTATAGGTGCCATAGCTCTGCTGTGTCTGCTGGGGCTGACCTGGGCATTTGGACTGATGTATATCAATGAGAGTACAGTCATCATGGCTTACCTCTTCACCATCTTTAACTCGCTGCAGGGAATGTTCATCTTCATATTTCACTGCATCCTGCAGAAGAAGGTGACACACACAAACGCAAATTCACTTAAGTGTGCTTCTTCAATTAGTGGCACTTTTGACTACTTGACATTTTGAAAAATTAAACTTTTTCAAGCTGTTTGTTATGCATTTATCACATTAGATCATGGCCTTGATCAAGCTTCGATTGATCGAGTGGGTTTTTTATATTGTGTGTGATGCTAATGCAATTTTTCAGTTTTTAGCGAAAAACAAGTTTGCTACTAGTGAATAAGTTTAAACTAAAATAGTTGTTTCTTAATTCTCAAATACTAACTAGGTTGGAAATGGCACCTACTGAAGCTACTCTCAGATCAGGGTGTAAAAAGAATATTAAAAATGATTTTACATAAAGAATCCTGAAAAAAAAACTTGAGGACCTAATCAGCATATTAGTATGATTTCTAAAGGATCATGTGACACTGAAGACTGGATTAATGGCTGCTGAAAATTCAGCTTTGTCATCACAGGAATAAATTACATTTTAAAATAGAAATTATTTTAAACTGTAATAATATTTTAATAATAATATTTTTATTATTAAAATAAATAATAAAAATATTATTTTTTTATTATTTATTTTAATAAATAATATTAACATATTTAATATTTTACATATTTTAAAATATTAAAATATTTAAAATATTATAATATTTTTTTGATTTGGATCAAAATCAAACTTTTTAATGAGCTGAGAGAAATGCCTCTGCTACCCCCCCCCAAAAAAAAAAAGAACAGTAGTGTATATAAAACGTTCTTATTGAAAAGTGCAAGTAGAATTCCCTGATTTTCTTTATAAATATAAAATAAATATAATTTTTATTATAATTTAATCTTAAAAATCTGGTAAAATTAAGGCCATGATGAAAATCAGATACATTTGAATATGTCCTCTAAAGCTAGAAAGATTATTTTTTAAATCATCCTAGCTGACAGAAAAATTCCCCTAATTTGAAGAATCATCCATGTATGTTATGCAAACATCTGCAGTATTGCAATCACGTGCACATACGCATACTGAGGCTCAATTGACCTCTTTCCTGGGCATTTTTACTAAGGGTTTACTGGCCTCTCATTAGTAATGATCTCATTAATCAACCCTTCTGTCACATGCATGCTCAATTAGATACCCTCAGCTCATCAGATTTATTTAGCTCATGATAGATTTGAAACCTTTTAATTATCTGATGGCCGACCGGTGGATTGCTTCCAGAGTCATTTAGCATGAAAATGCTCATATCCACATTACACTGGTGCATTTTAGCTGTAAAGGGAAACAGATATTGATTCAAGAAAAATAGTATGTGTATGTGTGAATATTTCTATCATGTATTGACAGACAGAAAGATCGGACTGTTGTGGAATTTGATTATGTATTCCGCTAACCAACCTTTCACATTAAACAGATGTGCGTGCAGGCAACTTCTAAGCCAAAAGTGGGTGATTTTAGAGATTTTTGGCTAATCTACCCATCTACCTAATGGATCTGAACACTATATATATATATATATATATATATATATATATATATATTCTCTCAAAGACCCACAAGAAGCTGTTTTTACAAGACAAGGGACTGATCTAGGCTTATTTGGGTTTTGTGGAGACAGCAGTGATTTAAATCAAAAGCTGTAAATCCTGTTTTGTTGAGGTCTTTGAGGAGTTGGGTGTGCCGTCATCCATAGAGACGGAGGAATAAAACCATTGGATTTTATTTGGCCGATCTTTGAGAGTTTTCTTTCAACAGCTGTGCAAACAATAACATAGCGTCCATGTTAACAACATTAAAAATCAATTATAGCTGTATTATTGCTGATACAACGGGGAATGTTGTACTGATATTGGTCATTATTGTTATTATGTTTAGATTTTTGGATGGAGCAATACAAGTTTTGGTCCTTGTTGTTTGAGAATTGAGGTAAAGGTTGTGATGTTGAATGTATGTGTGTTTTTCCTGATTAAGATTACAGCGTTAGGAAGGTCGTCCAGCATGCTAACTATTGAAGTCATGTAAGTGATATATGAGGGTTCCTACCATGCCACGAAAGTTCACTTTGCCGTTCACAAGCACGCACGCACACACACACACGCGTGCGCGCACACGCTTGCACAGACACACTGTATCCTGCAGGAACTAAGATGAACCCAGTAAACTCTTTAACACAAGGACACAAGGAGTGGCCAATCGATTAAAAAAATGTAATCTAATTACAAGAAATGCTGACTAATTAATCAAATCACAATTAATCAAATACTTCAATATTTGCTAAGGGAATCTCCCAAATGAAGGATAATGTAACTATCAAGTAGAAAACAACTTTTTCCTATTAATCATTATTTTTAGTAGTGAAAACCATTTTTAAATAATCATAAGATACAAATATGCAATAATTACAAGATACAAATATCATTAATTATTAATTCACAATAAATATCATTAAGTTTTGGCAAGTCATATCACAATACATTTTACAACCTGAACTAACCACAAAAAATATGAAAAGGAGTTTGATTTCAGAACTTGAAAACATGCTTGTCATAGAAGAGGTGTCATGTATGACTTGCATATGCACTTTTGAATAAATTAATAGATTTAAAATTTCTTCAGTTTATGTCTCAGCTGTTTAATCGTTTTGTCTTCATAAAAATATTTACACAAGAAATTTGCTGTAAATAAAAGCAGTTGAATGTTAATGTTTATAGACACACACAATATATATATATATATGAGCAATATCACTCGAGTACGAGAGCGATACCGGCTCTATATCAGCATGGCTGTGATTAGGCCAGAGGCAATCGTATCAAGAATTCGTATTAGAATTCGTATCAAGGGCATGTGCTGCTTCAGTTAGGTTATTAGTGAGAAATAATGAGGTTATAAGAGAGAAACAATGCGGCAAGACGTGCATCCAAATGAGAGAGAGACCGCGAAGCTAGACGCTTCTTCTTATATTAACTAACGTACTCTACGCATCCAAATGAGAGAGAGAGACCGCGAAGCTAGACGTTTCTTCTTATATTAACTAACGTACTCTACGATT